TGGATAAAACTAGTATGTTGGTTATGCACTATATATATTTTAAAAACGTATATGACATTGTAGTTATCTTTAGGGTGAAGGTGGAATGGTTTTATAAGAATTTTCTACTTTCAGTGATAATTGAATGGGTTAAAAACATTATAAACCTACTAAGCCGATACTATCCTACCAAATATTGAAATAAGGTAAATAACATTACAAAACAACAAAACCTATACCATCCTACAAAATGTTGAAATAAGGTAAATACCATTAAAAACAACAAAACTGATACCACCCTACCTAGTGTTGAATTAAGATACATTACATTATAAAACAGATATCATCCGACCAAATGTTGAAATAAGGTGAATAACATTACAAATCCGACACCATCCAAACAGATGTTGAAATAAGGTGAATAACATTACAAAACTAACACCATCCTACCAAATGTAAAAATAAGGTGAATAACATTGCAAAACAATAAACCTGATATCATCCTACACGATATTCAAATAGGGTACATTACATTATAAAACAAATACCATCCTACCAAATATTTAAAGAAGGTAAATAACATTACAAAACCTATACAATCCTACCAAATGTGGAAATAAGGTGAACAACATAACAAAACAATAAAACCGATACCATCCTACCAAATACTGAAATAAGGTGAATAACATTACCAAAAAATCGATACCGTCTTCCCTAATGCGGAAATAAGGTGAATAACTTTACAAAACAGCAAGACTGACTCCATCCTACCAAATGTTGAAATAAGGTAAATAACATTACAAAAAAAAACTTATATTGAAATAAGATAAATAATATTACAAAACCGATACCATTCTACCTAATGTTGAGATAAGGTAAATAAAATTACTTAAACCCATGCCATCTTACCTAATTTTTAAATAAGGTAAATAACACCACAAAACATCAAAACCGATACCATTCTACCTAATGTTTAAATGATGTAAATAACACCACAAAACATCAAAACCGATACCATTCTACCTAGTGTTTAAATGATGTAAATAGCACCACAAAACAACAAAAACGATACCATCCTATCTAATGCTGAAATAAGGTAAATAACACTACAAAACCGATACCATCCTAGCTAATGCTGACATAAGGTAAATAACACTACAAAACCGATATCATCCTACATAATGTTGAGATAAGATAAGTAAGATTACTGAAACCGACACCATCCAACCAAATGTTGAAATAAGGTAAATAGCATTACAAAACTGATACCATCCTACCAAATGTTGAAATAAGGTAAATAGCATTACAAAACTGACACCATCCTACCAAATGTTGAAATAAGGTAAATCACATTACAAAACAATAAAACCGATACCATCCTACCTAATGTTGAAATAAGGTAAATAACATTACAAAAAAAATCGATACCGTCCTCCCTAATGCTGAAATAAGGTAAATAAGATTACTGAAACCGACACCATCCTACCAAATACTGAAATTAGGTGAATAACATTACGAAAGCGATACCATCCAACCTAATAAGGAAATAAGGTGAATAATATTAGAAAACAATAAAACTAACACCATCCTACCAAATGTTGAAATAAGGTAAATAACATTACCAAAAAAATCGATACCGTCCTCCCTATTGCTGAAACAAGGAAAATAACATTGCAAAACTGATACCATCCTACCTAATCCTGAAATAAGGTAAATAAGATTACTGAAACCAACACCATCTTACCAAATGTTGAAATAAGGTAAATAGCATTACAAAGCAATAAAACCGATACCATCCTACTAAATGTTGAAATAAGGTGAATGTGTTCACTTTCCATCAAAAGCACCGACATGGCCAGGTGGTTATGCCACACGACTCGCAATCATGGGGTCGTGGGTTCGAATCCCTTTCTCACCAAACATGGTTGCTTTTTCAGACGTGGGTGCGTTATAATGTGACGGTCAATCCCACTATTCGTTGGTAAAAAATAGCCCAAGTATTGGCCGTGGGTGGTGACGACTAGTTGCCTTCCCCCTAGTCTTTCACTGCTAAATTAGGGACGTCTAGCGCAGATTCCCCTCGTGTAGCTTTGCGCGAAATTCAAAATAAACAAAACAAACTTTCCACCAAAACAGTGATTCCAAGCATGCATGGGCAGTGAAAGAAAATAGAAGCGAATGGAACTCTTGCAACTATGGCTATATCTGAACAAGTTCCCGATATGAATTTAATTAAGGATGTGTAGGCTTATATGGTAAATGAAAAGATCAAAAGGCAAACAAAAAGCATGGTTGTATTTTGGGAATTAATATAGGATATTTGTCAAAAATATTTAACAATCTTACATTGTAGCGTAAAACATAAGGTGCCCCGCTCTGTTTAAAGCAAACATAAAACATAAAATCTAGTTGAATGGATGCCAACAGCCTGTTGTAGAAACACAAGTGTATGGGAAAACGTTTGAAACGTAGTCATCTACATTTGTGCTTCTACAACAGGCAGTTGCCGTCCATTCAACTAAATTTAATTATGAATACCTTGCCTAGATAATCTATGAAAGAAAACATAAACTAATTAATGCAATGTATAATTTATTGGCATTAATTTTGCATTTTCTGTAATATTTTATTATTCATTTAATTACAACTACTCATTTATTGTGACTTATGTATTTATGTAAAGCACCTTATTTCAAATGCTGTATATGTACATTTATATCAAACCAATTTAACAGACTTACAACGGTACAGACAAATTTATCAGCACCACAAAACAGTTATGAGAATTCTTGTAAACAAAGAAATTGCGGTCTAAGAAAAAAAACTTAAACATGTAACTTATGTGAAAAATATACAAACAAGTAAAGTTGGGATGAAATAACTGAAAATGTGGTATGCACATACAGCTTTGGAATACTTGTCTCTTCAGTTAATGTTTGTTTGTTTGGAATTAAGCACAAAACTGCACAATGGGCTATCTGTTTTTAGTGTTGTAAGTCCGAAGACTTACCGCTGTGCCACTGGGGGCTCAGATACTCTCCGCAATATTGGTCCCCCAGTCGGACAGCTAAAGAAATGGTTGAAATTTATCAAGAATCCTACACAGCATAAACAATAACAGTTATAATGTTTCAAAGTGAAGATGAGGGAAATAGATGCTTAATTTTTATAATGTTTTTTGTATATGGATGAATCGTACATTTACTATGAACATTTTGAGTATGGAACTTGAGATATGGCGTTATAACCCAATCAAAATCCATATATAGTTCCAAATATAGACATAAACATAGTCT